CTGTTGCACATCTGTGTGGAACAGTGCTTCTCAGCCTAGGATACCGTTAGCGACACCTGGAAGGCTTCACACGGACTGGCTGTCAGGCCCCCACCACAGACTGCGGCTGAGGCCACTGTTGGAGAATCACTGTGGAAGTCGCAGCTACAAAATAGAATTATACAGGCATACTGATCATGTTGAAGACTCAGTAGCAAAGGCAATTCTCTGAATGGCTTACAATCCTTAGGAAATGAAACACAACCTTTGTTTCAATAGTAATTGCATTCTTCGGAATTTCAGTATATGTACGTTCAAATCATCAAAAAGCGCTTTGAGTTCATATGGAGTAGGAGTTAGGATTTGGGCTCAAGTAATCACTGCATGAATCTCTGGTGGGATTATTTGGAATTTGTGGGGGACTTGGTATAATTTTTTTTATTGTGTGGACTATTTTTAACATTGTAAGTGGCTTGTCTAGATCAACCAAGGAGCACTGTGGGCTGCTTTTAATAAAAGCCAAGTTAGTACCAATATAGTATGGGAGGGGGCACCAACACACACAGTGATTAAGGTCTCTCTTGAGGCCCTTGGGGAATGAAATCAACCTACAGAGTAACTTTTTTAGGTAGCTAGTTTCCTCTCTAGAACAAGAAGATGAGTTCACCAAAGTCTAATGTGTTGGTTGCTTGTTTTAGGAGATTTCCTAGCTAACGGGGCCTCCTGATTCTCTGGTGCTCTCCTCACAGCAGTGGGCTCCTCATTCTCCACTCACGGGTAGAATCGCTGGCAGGTGGGGTTGGCCTGATGCAGGTGGATTGAGTGTGTAGAACTGAAAGAAGAGAAGAACCAGGGTGATTTGAGATATTCTGCAAAATGCATAATTAGAGGGATCTTGGCTAAATAACCACTTATTCACATGTTTTCCCATAAATTTTAAAATATTTTTATGAATATATGCTTCATGTTTCTTTCAATAAATACATCATAAAAACATTAACACTACTATTCTATGCCCTGTGCAACTGTTGTAGAAGTAGGCTTCCATTTCAATGCTCACCACCAAGCTGTCTTTGGCTTCTGAACACTGAATTCTATCTCTATTTGCCCTTATCTTTCAAGAGCTGCTTTGAAGGAGTTCTGGCCCTCTCAGGAAAGAATATCAACAAAACGTAAGGCCTGGGATATAATTCAGATCATTCTAATCAGATTTCTCAACCACTGATCTAATCATGAGGCTGTTTTGCTTCCCTTCTTGGTCAAGTTCATTCATTAACCCAGAAAGCATTTACTGAATATATGCTGTGTCTGCCCCTGGGCTAGGATGTAATAAGATTAGTGGATGAATTGAGCCCTGTCCTTTAGGAGTTTATAGTCTTATTGAAGGAAGCGAGGGACATAATAGAATGCTATTTAAAATGTATGGTGGCTTTTGCACTTGAAATATGTTAGAGGTCTTTCCTGGCAGTTTCTCCATTTCGAACACTCTTTTGTCATTATTGTTGTCTCCGACAAAATGCTGTAAAATTAATAGAAAGAATCATTGGCATTTCACAATTTTACTGACTGTGGGTTTGAGAGGATTTGTAGCAGGAGAAACAAATGAGAAATTGAAACACCACTGATTGTCTTTTTATTGGATCAAATTGAAACATAAAATCCCTGTACCCCATCACACAAGAAATTCTACCAGACTCTTAAATGTCATCTGGTCGACCAAGATGAATCCAAGTTGAAAAGCAACTTATACTAATTCTATTTAAGGTCCAAGAAATGATGAAATGACTTTTTTATTTTGAAAGAAAATATGTATGCATATGTGAACTCTTGGAAAAAATGATTTTCTCTCATGGTTATTTAGAAAAATGGAAAGCTATAATCAGAAATTACCTTCCACCTCCACCTCATAGATATTTCTTTTATTTGCCTTCTTATGTAAAACCCTTTTGTGAGGCCCATGAACCCTCACAAACTAGAAGCCACTTTGATGTTTCTTGCTTATTTCCCCCTTACTTGGTGTTTATATGTGTAGTATACAGTTTTCTTCTATTAATGTTACAGAAAATCACCCTTAAACTTACATCCACAATGAGGAGTAAATAATCCATAAAAGCCTTTACATAATCATTTCTATTCACAAGCTGGAAGGATCGTGATGTGACTGTATTTTCATTGCAGAGCTTGGCCAGCATTGAATGTTTGAATGCCTCTCACCTTGGAGCCACATGGCCCCTGGAGAGATGTGTACATTCCTTGTGTCCTCATTTGATTATTTGAGCAATGCACCCCCACTGGTGGTCCTAATCAGGAATAGGAGTCAGGTTTCAGTGGTCAGAATCTACAGCATCTCAGGAGTTAAAGTAATTTGTCCTGTGGTTTCTACTGTGACAGTAGGTTGTGGTGACAGTTCAGGAGTCAAAGGTGAAACCCATAGGTTCCAACTCTACAGAGATCTTGTTTTTTGGTGATGAAGACCGTGGCTCAGAATCACTGTTCAGACGCCTCCAGAGCTGGACAAAAGTCTTCAAGAAAAATGCTAAAGAAGTTCCCTGAACTCAAGTGGGTGAAAAACACCTGGGGTATAAATCACCATATAAGACTCTTCTAGTACTTTTTTCTTATTGCTCAATAAAACAACATACTTTGGAGTGAGGGGCCAAAATTGATGTTGTTAATTATATGCTTCGGTCAAAGTGAGGAAAGAGAGTATTGTGTCCTCAGACTGCCTTCATTAAAGGCCTACATACTTGTGATGACTCCCTGGGGGCTTATATAAAGCAAGTTCATTGCCTACTGCCTGGTGGGAGAGTCTGAAAGTAGGCTACGGGCAAGTGTGATGTGGTCACTTCTGACTGCTGAAGACCTAGCCTCTATTTCTGGGACTTGCTGTAGAGGAATGTAAGAGTATGTATGTGTGTACATATATATATGTACACACACACACACATTTATAAAGGGCTGGACACTTGCTAAGCTCTCAGACATAATCGGTCATTGCTCAGTGACTGCACAATCCTGGGTTCTTTTCTGGATTTTTACTCAGACTTTCTTCAGGTTGTGGGGCTGTTGTTCCTCTCCCTCAACTTTACAGATTCCATTCTGGGTGAAGTCTGCAGGGCTCAGTGGACAGTACGGAGAGCTCATTGTCTTCCAGAGCCCAACAAAGCCTTTAGGTTCTTGTCATGCTCCTCTCCTTACCTGAGCAAGTTCCTTTTCCTTCCATGGCCCAGTAGATGGGATTCACCACCTGTCTGGCATCACCGCCTTTCTTTTCCCATTGTGCTGTGTGTAGCCTCGATTCTCTGTGTGGTGAGATGGGTGAAGGGGTCTGAGGATCTGGGCCTCTCCAGGGAGCTGGTATGGCTGGAGGTCCAGTGTCAGGTGGCAAATGTCACAGCGATGTTCATGTTCTGCAAGACAGGCTTCAGAGAGCTAATGATAATGTGCAGAATGAAGTTGCTGGTGCTTTCCTTCAGGGCTCCCCCTTGACAGGCCTGGGTGTTTAGGGATCCCCTAGCCCCCTCCCTGTCAACCTAAATTAAGAGGTAAGCTGACGCAACATTGAATTACCAGAAATAGCAGGAGGATTGCCGTTAGGGACACACAAACTGTAGCAAGCTACAGGTGAGTTTGTCGATTTTGGGGGGTGAGCTGCTTTATGGGCAAAGAGTGCAGAGTCTGGAGTCCAGCCAGAGTCCGAGCAGCAAATTCATTGGCTGGAGGATGGGGAGAGATTTCTGGCAGATGATCATTGGTCCAGGGATAAGTTTCTAACTTCTGTACATCAGTCATTTATAGGAAATAAGTCTCTCAGTTCTTAAGCTTTGTTTTCCTGAGGGCACATGTGTGAGAGTCTGCATTTGATATCCTCCAGCTCCATGGTAGATTAAAATTCTTCCATGGTCCCATAGAGACATTTGAAAATGTTAGCTTACAGAAGGAATCCATGCATGCAAATGCAGATACCTGGCCCTCACCCTGAAACCAGTCAGGACTCAGCTGATTCAGGTTCAGGAAATTCTCACAGCAGTGTGGGCACTTTTGCAGAGGGAGCACTCCTGGCTCTTCCAGGAGCCACTTACTTAATTACAGAGCAGCACTTCTATTAAAGCGCGAGACCCTTGTCTGACATTTTTGATGGAGATGTTCAGAAACTGACTTGTATTATTCATGATGATACTACAAGGTCTCCCTGGGTGATTCCTGATTCCATCATCTTGCTGTTCTCTTTCTCCCCATTTTGTTATCTCCCCTCCCATCTCTTTTCTTAGCAATAATCACATTTGCTTGCTAAAGGGGCTCCCCTTATTTCTTGTCTTTGCAGACCAAGATCAGGGCTGACTTTCTTGACCTTTCCCACCTTTCTCTCCTGAATCCTGTTATGTTCCACTCGACAAACCTAAAATCCAAACAACACGTTCTAGATTTTTCTTGCCATGGACCTTGGTAAGGTATCAATCTTTTAGTGTTTGCTATTCCTTGGCAGATAAAAACCAGTCTTCTCCCATTTAGAACCTCGAGCTCTCTGTAAAAGTCTTCTGCAGGGTAAAGGGAGGATGTTCTTGAGAGGAGCCAGAGTGAACTTGGAGCTGTGATCAACTTGGACAACACATTGATGAGACATGGAGGAATTTTAGTAGAAGATCTCATGCATCTGCTTTTTTTGCTTTTACTCTCTGGCAGCTATAAACTTGTCCATGTATTGTGACTGCCCCAGCCCTAGGCCTTTTTTTGCAAAGAGACCCGCATTCTTTCCTCTACCCTAAACAGGGGCTTACATTTTTAATTTCTGGTCCTCAAGCAATATTTCCCCAACGTGACTCCCACATCTGCCCTGTCTTTGAGATCTAGCACCTTCTACCTTCACCTTGACCTTTGAAGAGACATATTTCAATACATTTTTGAAGGTTGGCACATGCGGGAGACTAACTCACGCATCATTTCTACCCCACAGGAAATTTTTAGCTCGGTATTACCCTCTGATGTTGGTTTTTCTTTGTATTTTTTTCTTCTTGCTGCAGGAAAGCAATCTCCCGGGCAGGCCTGCAGCATCTGGCTCCTGCTCCTCCCCTCGGCCTTCCTGTGGCAAATGGTCCAGCGAAGGAGCCCAGAGCGACTCTGGACTGGAGCGTAGGTGTCAGCTTTCTTGTTTAATCATAACTCAACTGCATGTGTGTCTGTGTCTTTCTTAGGGTTCCCATAGCTACAAGCAAGACTTAATGACTTTTATTTTTATTTTTTTATGAATTCATTTTTAAATAGCTTTTATTTTTTAATTACAGTTGATTTATAATATTATATTATTGTCAGGTCATTATAACCCAGTCATTAGACACTGTATAACTTTCTAAGTGATCATCCCAATAAATAGGGTACCCATCTGACACCATGCATAGTTATTAGAATATTACTGACTACATTAATGATGCTGTACTGTACATCCCCATGACTATTCTGTAACAACCAATTTGTACTACTTAATCCCTTCATCTTTTTCACCTGTTCTCCCAATTCTCATTTGGCAACTGTCAAAACGTTCTCTGTATCTATCAGTTGGTTTCTATTCTGCTTGTTTATTTTGTTTTTTAGTTTCAGTTGTTGATAGATAGTATTTATTGCCATGTTATTGTTCATATTTTTTATCTTTTTGTTTCCTTTTCAGAGAAGACCCTTTAACATTTCTTGTAATATTCATTTGGTGGTGAACTCCTTTAGCTTTTTCTTTTCTGGGAAGTTCTTTATTTCTTCTTCCATTTTGAATGATAGCCTTGCTGGGTAGAGAAATCTTGGTTGTAGGGACTTAGTATTCTCCTTGTTGTTCACTGGCCAATCTTCACACAGCTAAGCCAGTTGTAGACTCCCAGGAACATAACTCCTTTATATGAAGTCAGATGTGTTGAAGACTCAAATAAAATCCTCATGAATCGTTTGGAATACTACTGCCTGGGGGAGCAGCCATGAGATAAAAGTACCACTGTGGAAATGCTCCCCTGCCCCCTCCTAGCCAATGATGAGTTGAACTTATCCTTAGCAGCATTTTGGAATTGAAATTTGATTTCTGCAGCTCAAGCTACCTCTGCCTTTTTGGTTCTTCCCTTCCCTCCCCTTGGCTTCCCTTCCCTTCCCTCCCTCCTTCCTTCCTTCTTTCCTTTTTTTTTCTTTTTTCTTAATAGAGGATGACCTCACTTCACATCCCAGGCACTTCATGTCCTCCTGCCTCTTATTCTTCCTCCCCTCACCTAAAGGTAGATAGGTTTTGTCTTAGTGGGAGTGGGTATCTTTACTGATTTTAACATTTTAACCAAAAGACCCCCACAAAAGCTATCAACTGGAGTTGAATATTGAAGACAGAAATTCTTGAGTCAATTAGGACACATTTATTGAAAGTCATCAGTCAGTCAAGTTCTTGGTGGAAGACATCTCTAACTGTGGACTGTAAGGGTTTTGTCCCTTTCTGAAGGAATGTGAGGAACAGCGTGGAGAGAAGAGGCTGCTCTGAAAGTCTGCCTGTCTGGTCTTAATGATGAATTTGTTTAGCTTTTGTAGTTAACAGAGAGGAAATTCATTTTCTTTTTTCCTGTAAGAAAGAGCACGGCAGGGTAGGGGAAAAGAGAGGGGTTTTAAAATTAAATTACATTTATTTTTAGTACAAACGCTATGATTTAATTTTTTATGTTACAATATTTCTCTCTCAAGCATGCACTTATTAACATTTTTGTTTTACCGCAGTGTTGAGAGAGTTCAGATACCACCTGAGCACATTGAATCGTTGTTCAGGAAGACTGTTCCTCTCCTGGACAGCTATTTAATAAACTCTTAAATCACAACAGAGTATAAGATATATTTACATCAGTGATTACATAATTTAAAAAGAATTACATGTATAAACAAATGGATAAATAAAATCAAAGAAGGACATGCACGGACCATTGATGAGTGTAAGTGCGTGTTGTAAGTCAGGGACTCAATACTGGCCCTATGGGTCAGTTGGTTGGAGTGTTGTCCCCATACACCAAAGGTTGCAGGTTTGATTCCTTGTTAGGGTGCAGACCTAGGTTGTGGATCTAAAACCCTGATCAGGATGCACACTGATTGATGTTTCTCTCTCACACTGATGTTCCTCTCTCTCTCTCTCTCTTTGTCAAATTAATAAAAATATCCTTGGGTAAGGATTAAATATATATATATATATATAAATAAATGTATATATATATATATATATAAATATATATATAAATGTATATTATATATTGGGGACCCAAATAAGTTAGTTTAGTATTCACCATGTTTCAAACAATCCTCTATTCAAGATACAAGATTTTATGAGAGTTTAAATTATTTAGACAGAAACATTCATTAAACCCTTTTTCTGCTCCTGGTGTTCTGCTCTGTGTTCTCATCTGTGATTGGGACAGCTGTGGCTTCTCCTGAAGGGACTTCATGAGTGTTGTTAGGATCAAACGTGGCAGCAAATGTGAAAGTTCTTTGCAAACTGTGCGGCCTGCAGGCTTACTTATTTATAAATAAAATAATTGAAGAATTTATTAATTCATCACACATTGGAGTACTTGCCTTGTCCTAGAACCTGTGTTGGTATCTTGGAATTCTAAGGTGAGGGAGACGTTTCTGTCTCTAAGAAGCTTAGATGCAGTGGGCAGAGGAGAAACCAGCAGGTCAAATGCAGGGCAGTGACACCTAGACCAGAGGAGCACAGAGAGTGTCACTGGAGTGTGAGGAAGGACCCTCCGTCCCTGTTTGATGTTGGAAATGGCTATTAGAAATGCTTTTACAAAGAAGTGTCCTGCTTGAGCCAAATCTTGGCTAGTATGTATTATCTTCTGATTCCGCTGAGAGATATGTGGTCTAACATTTCATTAAAATGGTATTCGGGGCTGGTGGTGGGAGGCTGCGGTATACTGTAAAGGAAGAGCTAATAGGAACTAAGGCTGGATTCATGTGTAATGGTTCTTTACTTCCTCCTCTCCTTTGGTTGTGGGCACCCCGTCATGTGGCCTGGGGAATTATCATGGTGGCAGGAAACGCTTTGGGAATTTTAACAATGGAGGAAAAAGCAGAAGTCTTGTCTGATCCGAAGGCGTATTAGATGCTGTGGGAAGAGTTTTAAGCTGTGACCTGAAAAAAAAAATTGTGGGCTAATATTGCTGTTAGCAAACAGAAGCCAAACTGTGACCAAGCCTACAATTTTTACTACAATAATGCAAAACATTTTTCTCAGAAGAGAGGAAGAAACAGATTCTTAAAAACATGGTGGGGACTTTCTGATGTTGAGTTGGATGAGTTCCTTATATATTTTGGTTAATGGATATATCATTTGCAAATCTCTTCTAGCGTTCAGTGGGTTGAATTTTCATCTTGCTGATGGTTTCCTCCACTGTGTAGAACCCTTTTAGTTTGATGCAGTCCCATTTGTTTATATTTGTTTTCAGTGCCCTTGCCCAGGAAGACATATCCAAAAAATGTTACAAAGAACTATGTCCAAGAGTTTAGTGCCTATGTCTTCTAGGAATTTTATGGTTGTAGGTCTTACATTTAGCTCTTTAGTCCATTTTGAGTTTATTTTTGCATGTGGTATAAGAGAGTAGTCCAGTGTCACTTTTTTTGCATTTTTCTAATCAGTGTTCTGACACCATTAATGGAAGAGACTGCCTTTACCCCACTGTATATTGTTTTGCTAAGACTTGCCCTTCCTTCAACATTTTTGGCTGTTCCTAGTGAGAGTGCTTTTCACCCATTTCATTTATGTCACTTTAGTTTGCACATCTATTTAAGCAGGTAAACCAGGATTTTTTTTTCTGTGCAAAGTGTAAGGCTAGTTTTCTGGCTTGACCTGTCTCTGCCATTCCCATACCCCACCCTGTTGCCTGTACCCTTATAAAAAAAGAGCATGACTGTTTGTCTTCCCCTGTCAGCCCATTCTTTGGGATTAAATGTATTAAAGTGGTCAGTCTTTACTTATTCACTGCTGTTTATTAAGCATTAATTTGACTTGGAGTGTCTTAAGAGTCTTCCTAATGAGGAGGAGGATGGCAAGGATTTAAAAAATAAGTAAAATAAAGAGGACCTCCAATTTCTTGCTGTTGGTGAGGATGAAAGGCCCCCACAGGGCCAAGTTATGCTTTTAGCAGGACTGGGGCGGAGCAGGGCTGATGAACGTCCCCTTGTCCCCCATCCCACCTCTCCTGCCTCTCGGGTTGAAATTCTCTTTGCTCCATTACCATTTGATTTGGGAGATAAGGGTCATCTCAAAGGCCTATAGCACTGTGACCGCCCCAACCTACATCACCTCTCCTCTCCTCATTTCACCAGTGGGACAACAGATACAGAGCTGTTCATGGTGCCTCTGAAGTTGCAAGGCAAATCAGGGTGAACCTGGACTTACAATCTCACTCCCCAAGTTTCTACTTATTGTGGAACCCCCAAAGGGCCCTGTTCTGGCTTTAGTGTATGTGCTGAAGTCTTTAGGAAGGGCACAGTTATTTCCTAAATATCTTTTTGCAAGGGGATTTGAGGAGTGGCTGGCTGGTGGGGCCTGAGACCCAGGTGAACACCGAATCAGTGAACTTGAACTGCTGGGGCATTTCAGTGAGCAGTGCACTATTATGGGAGTCAGTTCTTACACTTTGAGTACCTGAACTTAAGACGTGTTTCCTCCAAGTATTCCATTTTCATTTTCCTACTCTGTCATGTATTCTCTCTCTTACTTTTACTCTGTTCCTCAAAGTCCAAAGCTTCTCTTCTGCTTTGATGTGCTCAGATGGCTTGTTGTGACCTACAGAATCCTCTGCCTCACCCAGTTTTGTTTCCTTGGTGACTCTTGGCCAATGTTCACCCTTACAGCCCACACACAGGCCTTTCCCTGCATGCATGTCAGGGTTCGAACCCTTCGCCTGGATGCACGGGGAGTAGCCAGCTCGGTCTTCTGTCTGGTGCCTGCATTTCTCTCGACAGTAGTAGACAGTTGGCCCTACCCAATGTGGAAGTTATTTCCTCTCTTGCTGTCTGCCAGACTAGTCTCATCTTTTCAATCAAACTGATTCTATTTATTCCCCTTTTGCTTAGATGTCACAAATACCTCTACCTACCATGCACTGTCTTACAAAATTTAGAGC